GATGTGCGTGATATGGTTCATGGGGTCACGAAGAGTCGGACACAACTTAATGACTGAACGACAACAACAATACCAGGGATGTGGATAATTGATATGGCAATACCAGGGGATAGTAGAATAGAAGATAAAGAATTGGAGAAGATCACAAAATATCAAGATCTGAAAATCGGAGTTGAAAGATTATGGGATAAACTGTCCATGGTGGTCCCAGTGGTTATTGGCCCACTGGGTGCCATACCAAAAAGCCTTGGACGACACTTAGAAAATCGGTGCATTGACAACATTTCTACCTGTCCATTACAAAAGACCACCTTGCTTGGATCCGCACATAAACTACGCTGATACATTACGGAATTCTAGGTCAGTGTTTCTCAACCTCAGCGACGTTCAGATGTGTGGACTTCAACTCCCAGAATTGGCTGGAGAATTCTGGGAGTTGAAGTCCACACATCTGAACGTCGCTGAGGTTGAGAAACACTGACCTAGGTTCTTGAGAAGAACGCAATGCAAATGAAGGCCAACATCAACTAAAGAACTGGCAGCTGTGATTTCACATAGTTATGCATATCATAATAATATTTTTATCCCATCTTTTTAAAATGGGAGCAATTGTGTCGGATCCTTAGGAAGGGGTCTCAGAGTCTTAAAATTGCCCTGGCTCCCTGATTTTCATCCTTCCAGTTAGACGTGGCTTTACCTTACTTTCCTGTAACTCAAACTGACTGAGTTTCTACCCAACTCCATTTTAGCCTGCTGTACTGTGCCAACATGGTTTGTCTATGGTTGGGTGTGTGATATCAGTCTAGAGAACTGAGTAAATCATAGCTCCACTTATGATGGGTTAAGATGTGGAAACCCACCTACTGGATGCCATTTAATATTCTCAGCATCCCCCCAGCAACACCCCCTATTCCCAGCACTTTTGTGTGTGTGGGGAACTTCTCCTACCCTATGGGTGCCAAAACTGTGTGCACTTTGGAGTCTTTTCAGTGAGGATTAAGGAGCAAAATAGCCCATTTAAGGACTTTTACCCTTCAAAACTCCTGTATCCCCCTCTCCATATGGGCCATGCTCCACTAAGTTTAGAGTAAGGGACTCAATGTGATCTATCAAACTTAATATGGCCTTGAACTGATAGCTCACATCCCTGCCCTCACCCAACGACACTGTAATTTTGCAAAATTCAGGGACTATCAACCAACTGATGGGGGGAAAACAATTCTTAGCTGCCATCTCTCTGGTGTTTTGTGCTTAGAGAACTTTCTCAGATCCTCTTCCCTTCAGAAGCCAGGTAGGTGACAATGTTGAACAAGAATGTTGTCTAGAAGATCTCAACTCCTTCGTCCTACAGTGTGAGAAGTAGCAAACCAGCGCATCAGATCTGAGCGCACTTAAGCTCTGGATCTTCAGCATTAAGCAGTGTAAGCCAAGCCACTATACTTTGTAAATCACAATTGCTTTGCACCATGTGTGAAAATCTAGCTGTGGGGCTATTCAACAAACGATGGTTAAATTGCCATTTCCCCTATTACTAGTAATCTAGGAGCTGCTGATTTTCCCTCCTTCCACCTGCTTTCAAAACAGCAAGAACGTGTGCATGTGCGTGGTGCGCGAGTGGGTTATGTTCTGGAGAAGAATTCCAGAACTTGTCTACAGACAATGAGGTTACTGCAAAGGTTTCAGAACTGGATCATACCTTTCGGTGAGGACCAGGTGAGCTTGGCTGGAAGTCCAGGGCCAGGTAGTCAACACTTGCAGTGCTCTTCTTTGGGGCTGGACTACTTTTCCCACTGGGAATGGGAGATGCAGAAACTGGGTTTTGCTAAGATGAGAGCAACGGATTGAGAAACAATCAATAGAGCAACAAGGAAAGACCCATTCAAACAATCAGTCCAAATCTGCATAAAGGTTTGACTTCCATAACTTCTGGGGGATGTCAGGTTTCCTTCCCCACTAATTCAAAGATAAAAAGCTCCTTTGTGTGCGAATTCAGTGTAAGTATAAAACACGCATTCATATATGTAAGTGATTGACTTCAGGGTATTGTTGTTTACTCCCAGGTGCCTACAGAACCTTAAGAGTGAGGTTTTACTTGTCTTTTACTCAGTTGTTTCAGGCCTCTGAATATCATGATAGAGTTTTGAAGCAGGCTGTTGGAGCCTTTAAGAATAAATCATGAAAAAACAGAATAACTTAAAAGATTCTACATGGATAGCACTATGGGTGCCTGTAGGAAGAAGCAGGCAACATCTGACATGTCATAATGTTATTTGCACAACGTCATGATATGTGATACAACATCTTGACATCATTGTGGCTTCAGCTGGATGTCACGGAGCGACTTCTGTCTCCCACAAATGTCTAATCTTCTCTCAGAACTACTTGATTGACCTTATTTGATAGGTTGGGACTTCAAAAGTTCTCATCAGCCTGATTTTATCCACTTTTTGTCCTTTCTAAAGCTAATGGTGGCAGTAACAAAACAGACAGAATTTTTCCATTTGTAAAATTAAAAAGGCACATTAAGGTCGCTGCCATGAGAGGTAATGCTGGCTACCAGCTTGGCTGGCTTCAAAATTCCATGAATTCATTGGACCAATTCATGGAATTCCTGGAGATCAGTGGCTGTCAGCCTTGATGGCATGGGACTGCCTCTGAAGGCCTTCTGGTGGGAGACGGGTGGGCTTCCTTGGCTAGCTGGTGGGAGAACAGATTGCTGGACAAGATGGGCCAGAGGTCCAATCCAGCAAGGCATGGCTTATGTTCTCAAAACAGCCCATGTTAGCCACGATGGGTGATCTCAGTACATGAAAGATGAGTAGGTATGGGAGAGAAACCAAAAAGAGAAGGAAGCTTCTATAAAGACTTACCATGGCCACATAATTTTCTTCACTATCTCCTGAGTCAGTGCTGGTGATGCTCTGGGTAGAGGTGGGACGACAATATTGAGAAAAGTTGGAGTTGAAGGTCTGGCTGAAATGAGAGCAACCAGAGGAAAGGTTATAGCAAGCCACAAGTGGGCTTTCAGGAGTCCTATCTGCCAACTCGGAGCTTCCTAGTGAACATCAGGGAGACAAGCAAGGTAAGGGAATAGGATGAAGAATTCAGGATGCAGGTCTGACCTCGTCATTCAGATAATCAAGTAAGCACAGGGCAGCATGCAAAATGCCCAACTACAAAGAGCAAAGGCTGATGGCGTGCCAAGGGAAAGTGGCATCATGGGAAAGTGTTTCAGAATCAAGCACCAGTTGGATAAGGCTTTGCCTCTTTTGCAACTATAGTTGGCTTCCAATTTTACGCTAAGCTATAAATGGGGGTTGGGTGGCCTGCCTTAGGGTGATGTGTGAACTCAGCCCCTGTGGTCTGCAAATCCCTGGCTTAGTAAGATGCATGAGCTGGTGGGCGGTGGCTGATTCAGCGACTGTGGCTTCGCCAAGGCACAAACCCGCTCTTTATCTTCGCAGACGATGAATGACAATCTGAATTAGGGCATGAAAAATTCTCTGCAGCCCAAAAGGCAACTCCATTCAGCTGTGAATGGATGGATGGGTAGCTCAGCCCCAGGGGAGAGATACTCTGTGTTAGAAGGGTCAGCGGCCGCTTCAGTATTAAGAGAGAAGCGCTTTGACCCAAATGTGCTTTGGAGAATCTGGCAGACTAAGCCAGTGCCTGTCTGCACTTCTTAAACAGCTGTATTCTTCCCAGAATCATGCAGCCGCTCACCCCTGCTACTGTACAACCCCAGGAAAAGATTCAGTGCATTTAAGGAGTGGCAGACTTAAGCCACCTGCAAACACCACAACGTCCAAAACATCTTTGGAGTCCAAAACAATGTGCAGCCCTACACAAAAAATTATATTTTCCTAAGAATTTGGTCTGTAGGTCTAAAGATCTAGACAATGTGTCTCATTTGTAGCCAAGTAAGGCAACCCAGAACTTTGGCATCAGGGTCTCCAGAGCAGTGCTTCTCAACCTCAGCCACTTTAAGATGGGTGGACTTCAACTCCCAGAATTCCCCAGCCAGCCATGCTTAAAGTGGCTGAGGTTGAGAAGCACTGCTCTAGACCATTACAAACCTTTCTTTGTGGGATTACAGATTACATCGCTATCCTTCATATTTTTATGCAATTTCTTGTTGAAGCAAACCACATTCTTTGTTCCTGTCACTCTACTAGGGAATAAGATGCTCTAATTTTTTGGCTACTCACATGTGAAAACCAGCCTGCCTTGTGGCACACCATGGTAGATATTTAGCAAACAATCCAGCATTATACTCACCCAGGCCTAGACCATGATTTTGTGACTGGTGATTTAAAGGGAAGTTCATCTATGACTGAATTGCCCCTCAGGTCAAGTGGGGTCGGTTTTGCTGGAGGAGAAAGAGATCAGAGTTATAGTTCATCAGAGTTATGATGAAGATGTCATCTACATACTGGATCCATACTTTCGCTTGTATGTGTGGGACTGCTATCATATCTAGACCAGTGTTTCTCAACCTTGACAACTTTAAGACGGGTGGACTTCAATGCTGGCTGGGGAATTCTGGGAGTTGAAGTTCATCCATCTTAAAGTTGCCAAGGTTGAGAAACACTGGTCTAGATGCCGCATTACAGTCTCTGCTATGAGTCCTGAGAGTTGTGTGTGTTTCTCTGATTTGTTGGTATATTTGTCCATCAAACTGAAAGCAGGTAGTGAGGCAGAGGATCAACATCTTCAAAAGAATAAAATTCACAAGGGAAGAAGAGAACAACATACTACAAGTAGTCCTTGCTTAATGACCATTCATTTAGTGACTGTCCGAAGTTATGATGGCACTGAAAAAAGTTACTTATGACCGGTCCTCACACTTATGACTGTCACAGTGCCCCCGTGGTCATGTGATCACAATCCGGGCACTTGGCAACCAGCTTGCATTTACAATAGTTGTAGCATCCTGGAGTCACGTGATTGTCATTTGCGACCTTGTCAGCTGGCTTCTGGCAAGCAAAATCAATAAGGAACTGCGTGATTCACTTAGCCATGTGATTCGCTTAACGACCACATGATCCATTTAACGACTGTGGTGATCTGCTTAACGACTGCCACAAAAAGGTTGTAAAATCCGATGCAGTCACATGATGCTTCGATTAATGACCGCCCCACTTAACAATGAATTTTCTGGTCCCTGCTGTGGTCATTAAGCAAGGACTACCTGCACCCTTCCTGAATATCTTCATCAGCAGAGGAAATGACAGCAAATTAGAAACACAAGTCTACCAAAAAACAATCCACACTAACCAAGTCCTCCATTACCAAAGTAACAACCCAACCTCCCACAAGATGGGCTGTGTAAGAACATTATTCAGATGAGTACAAATGCGCTGCAGCAACCCAGAACACCAGAAAAAGGAAACAGACAGCCTATGCAACATCTTCCAACAAAATGGACACCTATGCAACTTTATCAAAAAGTGCCTGACCGCTCGACCCACTACAGCACAACCAACACAAGCTACGAAAAGGATAGCACTGCAATACATCAAAAACATCTCAGAAAAAACCACAAACTATTACAACCACACGACATCACTGTAGCACACAAACCAACTATAGCCCTCCAAAACATCTTAAGTAAACCAAAAGACCCAGTAGCCAAAGAAGAAAAAACAGGAGTCATCTGCAACATACAATGCATGGACTGTTACAACCACTATGTAAGACAGACAGGCAGAAGACTAGCAGAGCGCATCCACGAACACCAACTAGCAGTCAGAAGACACCATGAAAACTCCTTACTCTCCCAACACATGGACAGATGCAATTAGAGTTTCAACTGGGAAACTGTGAGCATCCTAGACCAAGCCAAGTCCAAAAATTCCTAGAAGC